GATCGCTGGTCTCGACTACAAGTGTTGCGCCAATTGTTGTCACAAATGGTATCAAAAATAGGGTTCAAAATGAGTGAAACATATGATGTGCTCAACAGAAGGGACCGTTCAGTCATCACAAACCGCACCACTTTTTCGCGCATTTATCCCATCATTGGATTCACATTTAATTCATATTTCATTATTTTTTGGTCTATTTAACGCTACTTTTAATTACCTTATATTTGGACGAAATTCATTAAGATTTAGCCATTCATTCAGTGATTAGTTATGAATTGGAGGCAAACAATTTACATGTCAGGCTATTCATGATTATTCGTTTTTAATACACCATGATGATTTATTAAATTGTGATTTATATTGCAATATAATCAATAATATTAATTAGAAATTTATGACGGTACAAATATCGATTGATTATTTTGAGTAAAATCGTATACAATTATCTTTAAATGGGAAAACATTTAAAAATATTTTTTGATGTGCTTTAATAACTGCAATATTTTGCAATAAATAACTTTACAATTCTGGAGAAACAATATGTTTAGCATTTTATTACAGAATTAAAGGGAATTACACATCGATTATCATTGCTTTCATTGTTTATTTAACATAACTTAAATGTTACATATTTTGAGAATATATTCAATTGATAGCTGACTTCAATCTAATTTATACATAAATTCAAATTATAAGTATTAATAATTGCATTGTATGTTCAAATAAATTATCATTTTATATTACATGAATAATTAAATGGCAAAAATACATTTAAGAAAATATACATAAGATATTCTTGAAATGATAATAAGTATGATATTTATCGTATAATTCATGCAATTTGAAGCCATAAAATAATTGACCATAGTCTATTGGATAAACTAATTACAAATTGTTTAAACTATCATAATATTATTATGTAATATCTTTATCATTACTACATATTAAAAGACTAAATATTGAGATTCAAATGAGTGTATTTAAAGACAAGAATTTAATTATGTAATTAAATGTCACAAATTTCTATATATTGATACTTATAGTATTGTATACTTAATCCATAAAATTAACTTTATATTTGACTTAAATAATAAATAAATTTTGGTTTACTATACAAATAACGATTTACTCACTATTTAATGACTAGAATTGGGAAAATTATAAAATAAAATAATTAACAAACTAAGCGACTATTGGTAGAAATGAGATATTTGTGTGAAGTGTTCAGTGTTTGCCATTTGTTGAGGAATTGCTGAGTTGTTATGAAAGACTTGATGTGTTGCAGACATCGAGTGATCAGTTTGTGTCACAATCGGTTCAAACGACACATTATTGTTACCATTAATCGCATTATTAATGTTATGCTTATAACTAACAGCCATTAATGCCTGACAATAATAGGAGTAATACAACTGTTGCTGAACTGTCAACTGTTGTCCACCGCTTGGATTTGGTTGATAGCCGTTAGCGTTTGGATTCTCACTGCACACCACTTCCTCTCCGTTATCATTACTGAAGTCATCTTTTTTCAGAATCTCTTCAATAGAATAAGTTTTAAACTTCTTTTGCCTTCTTTTTGCTGCAAATTATTTTAACATTAATTATAAGCAAATGTATTATAAGAATATTCTCTATGCGTGTAATAATACCCAAAACTGGTTGGCATTGATTCTGAGACTTTCTGCTCATCTCATTATTCGCAGCATTGATTGTATCGTTTGATTCTCCGCCAGAGGAATGGTTTGAATTTGGTGTCCACTCGAACAGTGCGTTTGTGCCGTTCCTTAGTATGCGATTAATGGATGAGATCGACGGAATCACATTCACCTGAAGGTCAGACTCTCTGCCAGAGGACGACGACGACGAAGATGTGCCAGAATTGGCGTGTTTTTGGTTATATGTGATCAATTCTCGACGTAAAAGGTCCCTGATCTCCCACGCGAATATAGCCGGGTTCTCCTGCTTCAGACGTAGGATCCTCTTCACGATGTTAGGTGTGGTCACGTGTTTCGGTTTAGAGCCGCCGATTGAACCTATATTTTAGGGCATAGATATCGCTTCCGTTAATTAAGGCTTTCGGTGAATTTAAAATGCAAACTCACGTAAATGATTAGTTCCCGGCTTTATTGAGCCTATAAATAAGTAACATTACTATTGATCGTACAGGAATTTTTAATGTATAATTATTGGGCATAATGTTAATACATAAATTCATATATTTTGCAATTAGAAGTATCATGTTGTCTTATGGAAGACACTTTTAAATTGTCTATAATATTGTTAATTAAAAATGTCTAAAATACATACCGGTTTCGTAAAATCTTGTGAGTATTTTGGAAACACATCCGTGAGATACCAATAGCTGTCGGGATATATCGCACGGCCGGACACCCAATAGCGCCAATTCTATGATACGGTGGCGAACGTGTAGTGGAAGTGGTCTTCCGTTTACAAAGAGTCCGCCCAATTGATTGATCCCCGCCTGACCT